GTGGTGCATCAGATGACCTGGCCTCCAGAATCCCCCGACCTCAACCCAATTGAGATGGTTTGGGATGAGTTGGACGGCAGAGTGAAGGAAAAGCAGCCAACAAGTGCTCAGCATATGTGGGAAGTCCTTGAAGACTGTTGGAAAAGCATTCCAGGTGAAGCTGGTTGAGAAAATGCCAAGAGTGTGCAAAGCTGCAATCAAGGCAAAGGGTGGCTATTTGAAGAATCTTAAATATAAAATATATTTTGATTTGTTTAACACTTTCTTGGTTACTACATGATTCCGTATGTGTTATTTCATAGTTTTGATGTCTTCACTATTATTCTACAATGTAGAAAATAGTCAAAATATAGAAAAACCCTTGAATGAGTAGGTGTCTCCAAACCTTTGACTGGTACTGTATATATCTTTTAAAATATATTTTCCTTTATTATTTTCCCCTAACCCTACCATTCCTCCCCTAATTGGAGCAAACTAATGGACAACAACTCTTAGGCTTCTACTTCCAGCTTATACACGCTATATACATTTTACGGACACAGTATAGTTTACAATAGTTATCTTTTGTTTGATTTTAGTCCCATCCTTCAGCTCCACTCAACCCCTCCCATCGATCTCTGAACACCATCCAGTTTTTCAACTGTGTTGTGATGTTTCACAAAAGTTCTGAATCTTTCTATTCTTATAGATTCTACATATTGTAAATGAAAGATCAACATTTTTGCTAAGAGTATTATTATATTATTGATCAATTGACTATGACTTTTTAAATCACCCATCAGTGCTATATGCAGAGTTAGCTCCAGGTAGATGTTGCAATTCTTCAGCCATTCCTGGACCTGTGACCAAAAACAAGCTACATATGGACAGTACCAAAACAAATGATCTAATGATTCTTTCTCTTCGTAGCAAAATCTGCAGAGCTGTGATGGTTGTATCCTCCATATACAGTGGGGGAAAAAAGTATTTAGTCAGCCACCAATTGTGCAAGTTCTCCCACTTAAAAAGATGAGAGAGGCCTGTAATTTTCATCATAGGTACACATCAACTATGACAGACAAAATGAGAAAAAATATCCAGAAAATCCCATTGTAGGATTTGTTATGAATTTATTTGCAAATTATGGTGGAAAATAAGTATTTGGTTAATAACAAAAGTTTCTCAATACTTTGTTAAATACCCTTTGTTGGCAATGACACAGGTCAAACATTTTCTGTAAGTCTTCACAAGGTTTTCACACACTGTTGCTGGTATTTTGGTCCATTCCTACATGCAGATCTCCTCTAGAGCAGTGATGTTTTGGGGCTGTCGCTGGGCAACACAGACTTTCAACTTTCCAAAAGATTTTCTATGGGGTTGAGATCTGGAGACTGGCTAGGCCACTCCAGGACCTTGAAATGCTTCTTACGAAGCCACACCTTTGTTGACCGGGCGGTGTGTTTGGGATCATTGTCATGCTGAAAGACCCAGCCACGTTTCATCTTCAATGCCCTTGCTGATGGAAGGAGGTTTTCACTCAAAATCTCACGATACATGGCCCCATTCATTCTTTCCTTTACACGGATCAGTCGTCCTGGTCCCTTTGCAGAAAAACAGCCCCAAAGCATGATGTTTCCACCGTTCATGCTTCACAGTAGGTATGGTGTTCTTTGGATGCAACTCAGCATTCTTTGTCCTCCAAACACGACGAGTTGAGTTTTTACCAAAAAGTTATATTTTGGTTTCATCTGACCATATGACATTCTCCCAATCCTCTTCTGGATCATCCAAATGCACTCTAGCAAACTTCAGACGGGCCTGGACATGTACTGGCTTAAGCAGGGGGACACGTCTGGCACTGCAGGATTTGAGTCCCTGGCGGCGTAATGTGTTACTGATGGTAGGCTTTGTTACTTTGGGCCCAGCTCTCTGCAGGTTATTCACTAGGTCCCCCCGTGTGGTTCTGGGATTTTTGCTCACCATTCTTGTGATCATTTTGACCCCACGGGGTGAGATCTTGCGTGGAGCCCCAGAACGAGGGAGATTATCAGTGGTCTTGTATGTCTTCCATTTCCTAATAATTGCTCCCACAGTTGATTTCTTCAAACCAAGCTGCTTACCTATTGCAGATTCAGTCTTCCCAGCCTGGTGCAGGTCTACAATTTTGTTTCTGGTGTCCTTTGACAGCTCTTTGGTCTTGGCCATAGTGGAGTTTGGAGTGTGACTGTTTGAGGTTGTGGACAGGTGTATTTTATACTGATAACAAGTTCAAACAGGTGCCATTAATACAGGTAACGAGTGGAGGACAGAGGAGCCTCTTAAAGAAGAAGTTACAGGTCTGTGAGAGCCAGAAATCTTGCTTGTTTGTAGGTGACCAAATACTTATTTTCCACCATAATTTGCAAATAAATTCATTAAAAATCCTACAATGTGATTTTCTGGAAAAAAAAATCTCAATTTGTCTGTCATAGTTGACGTGTACCTATGATGAAAATAATAATAATAATATGCCATTTAGCAGACGCTTTTATCCAAAGCGACTTACAGTCATGCATGCATACATTTTTTTTTGTGTATGGGTGGTCCCGGCGATCGAACCCACTACCTTGGCGTTACAAGCGCCGTGCTCTACCAGTTGAGCTACAGAGGACCACAAAATTACAGGCCTCTCTCATCTTTTTAAGTGGGAGAACTTGCACAATTGGTGGCTGACTACAAAGGGAAGCACAGCCGCGAGCTGCCCAGTGACACAAGCCTACCAGACGAGCTAAACCACTTCTATGCTCGCTTCGAGGCAAGCAACACTGAAGCATGCATGAGAGCACCAGCTGTTCCAGATGACTATGTGATCACGCTCTCCGTAGCCGATGTGAGTAAGACTTTTAAGCAGGTCAACATGCACAAGGCCGCAGGGCCAGACGGATTACCAGGACGTGTACTCCGAGCATGTGCTGACCAACTGGCAAGTGTCTTCACTGACATTTTCAACATGTCCCTGACTGAGTCTGTAATACCAACATGTTTCAAGCAGACCACCATAGTCCCCGTGCCCAAGGACTCTAAGATAACCTGCCTAAATGACTACCGACCCGTAGCACTGACGTCTGTAGCCATGAAGTGCTTTGAAAGGCTGGTCATGGCTCACATCAACAGCATTATCCCAGAAACCCTAGACCCACTCCAATTTGCATACCGCCCCAACAGATCCACAGATGATGCAATCTCTATTGCACTCCACACTGCCCTCTCCCACCTGGACAAGAGGAACACCTACGTGAGAATGCTATTCATTGACTACAGCTCAGCATTCAACACCATAGTGCCCTCTAAGCTCATCACTAAGCTAAGGATCCTGGGACTAAACACCTCCCTCTGCAACTGGATCCTGGACTTCCTGACGGGCCGCCCCCAGGTGGTAAGGGTAGGTAACAACACATCTGCCACACTGATCCTCAACACGGGGGCCCCTCAGGGGTGCGTGCTCAGTCCCCTCCTGTACTCTCTGTTCACCCATGACTGCATGGCCAGGCACGACTCCAACACCATCATTAAGTTTGCCGACGACACAACAGTGGTAGGCCTGATCACCGACAATGATGAGACAGCCTATAGGGAGGAGGTCAGAGACCTGGCCGTGTGGTGTCAGGACAACAACCTCTCCCTCAACGTGACCAAGACAAAGGAGATGATTGTGGACTACAGGAAAAAAAAAGAGGACTGAGCACGCCCCCATTCTCATCGACGGGGCTGTAGTGGAACAGGTTGAGAGCTTCAAGTTCCTTGGTGTCCACATCACCAACGAACTATCATGGTCCAAACACACCAAGACAGTCGTGAAGAGGGCACGACAAAGCCTATTCCCCCTCAGGAGACTGAAAAGATTTGGCATGGGTCCTCAGATCCTCAAAAAATTATACAGCTGCACCATCGAGAGCATCTTGACTGGTTGCATCACCGCCTGGTATGGCAACTGCTTGGCCTCCGACCGCAAGGCACTACAGAGGGTAGTGCGTACGGCCCAGTACATCACTGGGGCCAAGCTTCCTGCCATCCAGGACCTCTATACCAGGCGGTGTCAGAGGAAGGCCCTCAAAATTGTCAAAGACTCCAGCCACCCTAGTCATAGACTGTTCTCCCTGCTACCGCACGGCAAGCGGTACCGGAGTGCCAAGTCTAGGTCCAAAAGACTTCTCAACAGCTTCTACCCCCAAGCCATAAGACTCCTGAACAGCTAATCATGGCTACCCGGACTATTTGCACTGCCCCCCCAACCCATCCTTTTTACGCTGCTGCTACTCTGTTAATTATTTATGCATAGTCACTTTAACTCTACCCACATGTACATATTACTTCAACTATCTCAACTAGCCGGTGCCGCCGCACATTGACTCTGCACCGGTACCCCCCTGTATATATAGCCTCCCTACTGTTATTTTATTTTACTTCTGCTCTTTTTTTCTCAACACTTTTTTTGTTGTTGTTTTATTTTGACTTTTTTTGTTAAAAATAAATGCACTGTTGGTTAAGGGCTGTAAGTAAGCATTTCACTGTAATGTCTGCACCTGTTGTATTCGGCGCATGTGACCAATAACATTTGATTTGATTTGATTTGACTAAATACTTTTTTTCCCCACTGTACTTGTCTTAAATGATCTCCAATGTACCTGTCTGATTAGGATGAATAATATCCAACAATATATTTTTAATTCTAAGCGCTATGCACTTTGCTAGAATTTTTTAAATCACAACAATGAAGTGTAAGGGGCCTCCAATTTCTTTAATGGACTGGATCTTTATATTAACCACTTGGGTCCTATGTTTGCACCTGTTGACATATGTTTAAAAGGGAATGAAAGGTAAATGATCATACCTGAATGCATGAAAGTGACTTTTTGTACACTTTAGAGCCTTATACTCTCTTATCAAAAACTTGTCACTGTTTTCAAATGGTTAGGAAATCTGGCCTTCTGTGGCATAAACACAAGTATGGGAATCACATTGTGGGAATCCCTCTGGTTTCATCACACATACCTTCTCTCATTCACAGGCGTAGTTGTGCGGTGATCAACCTCCTTCGGACAAAACTCCTCCCCAAAAGGTGGCTTTTTGTTCACTGCTGTAAAATGTTGCAGTGGTTCTTCCATGTTCATATTCATGTCCATGGGTTCACTGTGTTGATTGACAGGACTTCCTCTGTGGATAACGCCCAGGGCCTCCCAGTCCAGGGTGGAGTCTGCAGGTGGGGTAGGAGGGGGGCTGTCGATAGGATCCATAGGGAGATACTTGGGCTGGTTGTTGAGGTCAAGGAGCACTGAGTGGTGATGGGGCTCATCTATCGGGGCCCTGCCGGCCTTCCATGTGTCTGGAACTGGAAGTGAGGCTGCAAAGAGGATCCGGAACTCTCGGTCGAAGGATTCCACCACCGGGCCACTCAGCACTGTCACCAGCTGCCGGTGCAGGTGGGCGTCTGACCATGTGAAGCTGGTGAACACAATAACAAGCTGTTATTTGATGTCAGAGGGAAACTGAGTGTGTAATAGGTTAGAAACAGTGGATAACACCTAGCTACTTTACCTGTAGCTACCATTAATCACTGTCTCCAAATCCACCAGGAGGAAGTTGTCTTTCAATTCCCCCATCACTATCTTTCCCTCCCGCGAACAGAAGGTCTTTCCTCCAAGAACACGAACCTGCATATTCTATGAAGAGCAGAATACATGGAAATCAACTTTATTTCAACCCTGTCGATTCAGACATAGACTTTGGATTGACTTCAATTCTGCCAGCATATACAGTATATCATTACCACAGACGTGACCTTAGCCACACCAAGAGACGCACAGACTGACACAGTGAATGCAGAACAACCTGTTCAGTTGTGTTGCTTCACCCAGATGCTACATTCCACACATGCAAAAAAAGGAGTTACCAGAGACTATAGTCAGCCTGGGTGTGTGTCAGCTTCTGAAGAGCCAGACGTCAGGTTAATGACATTCTGCTCTTATGAAACCTGATGCACTGTGACAGAGATTATTAATATGTTGAGCTGTTTTTGGTACTGTGTGAATTAAGAAGTTATGTGGGATTGGCTATGTGGTATGAATGACATCATGAGTCAGAGTCTGTAGTGATATGGACTTCTGAGTCCTTATATGGTGTAGTTACTCACCGGATGCCTCAGCCTGTGAGGGGGGAAGTTCTCCTGGTTGGATCTCTGGTTCAGGATGATGTAAACAGGGACTCCCCGTGAAGCGATGGTGTGGAGATCACCAATCACAGTGCTATCTGTCAGTCTGTCTGTCACCATGGCAATAACCTGTATAGCAGACACTCCATCAGAGGAATATTGATATGTGACAGACTGGATATTCCTCCCAATCAGTTCGCAAACTCAAAACCCTCTGAACCGTAACACAACATACTCAAGAAGCACCATCAATAACACAGACTCAGCAAAGCAAAGGCATTTCTGGATCTGGGGTGACAGTACCTCTAGGTCTCAGTAAGGTAGTTGCGATGAACTCAGCCATCCGCTACTAATTTACATCATACAATCAAGATTTTTACTGATGTACCAAGTGCATGTAGGCCAAATTATATTATTGTGCCTTAAGACTATATAATATTGAATCATTCAGACATACCTTGCTAGCCCCCTGCAGTAGTCTTCTGATGATCTCTCTGATAGGAGGTTGTCCATCCGCTGGTGGGCTGGTGTAGACCATGGCGTGTCCCATTCCCACCCAGGTGACCCCCTCAGGCCAGCCCAGCTCCAGGCAGGGTGCAGGGGTGTCTGAGTGGGTGGGGAAGTACCTGGCAGAGAAGTTCTGCACCCCTGAGCTGCCCCCCTCCTCAGCCCCCTCCACCTCCTCATAGCTGCTGTGGTAGTCCTTGACCCAGCCACTGATCTGGTTCACCTCCTCTGGGGAGAGGAAAGGGACGAGGTGCTCTGCACTCAGCTTGGAGTAGAAGGCCCCGGGGCCTGCACTCAGCAGGCCTTCTAGCGCATAGCGCTCCCTCTCGCAGTGGAGGTACTCCGGGCTGGACTCAGACACCGGCAGAAATATCACGTCCTTATTCAGACTCTGTTCCTGGGAGTTTGACATGGCTGTACAGTATATATCCTCCTCGGTCTTTGGGAATGAGGATTGTCTTTTGAACTCTGGGGGGGTCCCCCCCCCCCCCACCTACAAGCACTACTAGGGCAGCACAGGTCCAGCCAAAGTCATTACACCAATTACACTAGCTAGTAATGATATGCTAATTGTTACTGGAACATTGTGTACGGTAGAATTCTCCTTTTCAATACCTCTGTTTCCTCTGAAAGAAATGCAGTCACCAATGAATCTTGTTTCTCGCATTGGATGTCACTGAAAGCAATCAATTAAATAAGTTAATTTCCATAAACAGCTTAGGCTGTGACCCAGATATATCTTCAGGGGAAAGAACTTGAAAACACTGGCAAAAAAAATTCCCAGCCTTTCACAAACATGTCACAAGTTCTTGTTGACATAAGGAACAAATAGCTCTGAGTTATGATATATAATCTAAATAGATTCTAACCACTAAAAACGATGAAAATATGGAGATAATGTTAGTGATGACAGAAGATAGACTCACCCCTCACACTTCACATCCTAAAATAGGACTGATTACCTCCAACTGGTTACAGATTCTCTTATCCTCCTCCCCTTCTTGAACAACTCCTCCCTCCCTCTCACCTTCCTCCTCGTCTCTCTGCTCACATTGCCTCTCGCTCTGCTCCAAGCGTTCTGCTCTGCTGACAGAGCCTTTCAGTCTCTCACAGCCAGGGTCGGATCACTACCCTGTTTCCTCGAGATAATCACCACTTACCCTGAAGTGCACAGCTGACAACTTGTGTTCCAACTTGTGGATTCTGTGTGGCTATCTTCCACAATAAAGCCGTTTTATGCGTTCTGCCCTTGTGTTATCTATTATGTGGTGATGAAAGAAAACCATAGCTGACTCCTGAGACTGTCCTCTGACCGGTCTAGCCAGACGGGCAGGTCTGCTAGCCGCAGGATCAGGACTGGAGTCAGACTCCCCCTGACTGCCTGGTGAAGCCTCGCTGGAGGCAGTCCTCTCTTTCCACACCTTCTATTGACTCTCGTCGAATTTCCACTGTATGTGCTCAAAATGATGTCATGAGATATGGGTTTCTACAAAGTGGAACAATCATTTAGTCAGTTATTGATGTTATTTGACCATATCCATAAAGTGTTTTTAGAGTAAGATAATGTTGTGGTGTACTGTAAGTGTGGTAGCTACCTATGAATGGCCCTTCACAGGAGTGTCTCTGAAACTCCAAGAACATAATGGCTATTAAAGTATGGCATACTGGAGTTCTCCACAATGGGCATATGGTATGAATATAAACAAGCTTTCACAAGGGAATTAAACGCACAAGTGCCACTCTCCAGTTCATTCCATGTCTTGAGGCTTTTCTTGCTGATCATGAGGAAGATGTTATGCAATCAAATACTTTATCACAGAAACGACAGAATTAACCCAAACTGCAGCAATATTGCCGACAGTCAAAAATGTTCTATAAAATGAAGTGACTCAATTGATAGATTAAATATAAAAAGTGTATTTCACAGATAAAGTAATAGTATGTACACAATACATACACTATATATACAAAAGTTTGTGGACACCCCTTCAAATGAGTGGATTCTCCTATTTCAGCCACACCCGTTGCTGACAGGTGTATAAAATCGAGTGCACAGCCATGCAATCTCCATACACAAATATTGGCAGTATAATGGCCTTACTGAAGAGCCCGTGGCACCGTCATAGGATGCTATCTTTCCAACAAGTCAGTTTGTCAAATTTCTGCCCTGCTAGAGCTGCCCTGGTCAACTGTAAGTTCCGTTATTGTAAAGTGGAAACGTCTAGCAGCAACAGCGGTTCAGCCACGAAGTGGTAGGCCACAAAAGCTCACAGAGTGCTGAAGCACGTAGCGCATAAAAATGGTCTGTCCTCAGTTGCAACACTCACTACCGAGTTCCAAACTGCTTCTGGAAGCAACGTCAGCACAATAACTGTTTGTCTGGAGCTTAATGAAATGGATTTCCCTGGCCGAGCCTAAGATCACCATGCGCAATGCCAAGCGTCGGCTGGAGTGGTGTAAAGCTCGCCGCCATTGGACTCTGAGGTAGTGGAAAACGCGTTCTCTGGAGTGATGAATCACTCTTCACCATCTGGCAGTCCGACGGACAAATCTGGGTTTGGAGGATGCCAGGAGAACGCTACCTGTCCGAATGCATAGTGCCAACTGTAAAGTTTGATGGAGGAGGAATAATGGTCTGGGGCTGTTTTTCATTGTTCGGGCTAGGCCCCTTAGTTCCAGTGAAGGGAAATCTTAAAACTACAGCATACAATGACATTCTACACGATTCTGTCCTTCCAACTTTGTGGCAACAGTTTGGGGAAGGCCCTTTCCTGTTTCAGCATGACAATGCCCCCTGTTCCAACATCTAGTGGAAAGCCTTACCAGAAGAGTGGAGGCTGTTATAGCAGCAAAGGGGGGGACGAACTCCATATTAATGCCCATGATTTTGGAATGAGATGTTCGGCGAGCAGGTGTCCACATACTTATGGTCATGTAGTGTATATAAATCCCATTGGAAATCTAATACAGAGAAAATAAAGACCTCTCTTTCATCGTACATTGCATATCTGTTGTTGTTCACTACAGTCAAGTGATAACAGGCTAACAATACCAAGTAATACTGAATGATGCTGCTTATTGCCCTCACATCTGTCTTGGCTCACTGCCTCTTGCGCAGGTGGACATACAGAACTCCACTGAAGAGCAGGAGGGGTACACAGGACCAGGCCAGGATGAAGCAGTGGCCAAAGTGACCCATGCTCAGGTCTCTGGAGTCCTCCAGGATTTCCTTACGGTGGAACGTGAAGATGAGCGAGGCAGCAAATGATGTGAATCCTGGAGGAGCAAAGCAGATAGGGGACAGGGAGGGTCAATTCTCTTCAGAGAATAAATGTGTGTGAATGAATAACCACAACTAACAGAGAATGAGGAAACAACTTATTTAGGTTAATGACAAACCTCTCAAATAATATACAGTAAGTACACACACAAAATAACTGGTTGCCATAAACTGGTAAGTTCTTGTCCGGTACAGTACCTGCGAAGACCTGACAAAGGCCTGTGAAATAGAAGAGCCCGACTTTAGACATGGTGAAAAGTTGACCCAGGAAGACCAGGAAGGAGATAGAGGAGAAGACCACAGAGAAGACCATCAGGGCCTGGACAGCCTGCAGCCAGTCTGGAGGAACAAGAGAAGAGCCATAAGACTCCATGTCTTTGGGACCAACACACAGACACATTGAATATGAAGACTATATTGGAAACATAATGCACATGATCACTCAAAGGCATAATTACACAGAATACTGGTTGGACACAGTTACATAAATATACATCCTCAATCACATGGAGACTAGATCATAAAGATCACTAGATAAAACGTCCTATTTTATTTACCATTTTCATTAGAGACAGCACACAGCCAGTTTCCAGTTACGTTGTCATGAATGCAGTTATACCAGAGGTCTGTGAACTCAGCATCGGCCCAGACCCACCAGGACTAGAGAGAGACACACAATACAAGAAAGGTTTAGTTCAGTAGGCAGGAAATCTGCCCAAATCATAAAACTGGGTAGGCTACTACCAACTGCTGGATTCCTTCAGAGCTTTAGATGTGATTAGGTATCCATAAATCAAATTCCTGCATATTATATAAGGTCACGTGGGTTTTTCTTCAGCACCATAGCACTTTCAATATGCTGACATTCAACAATGTTGTGGTTGCTCTCCTCAGCCTTTGATACTCATATCAGCAACATAAGCCAGGAAAGGGAGTGCTGCAGAGTCGGATTTGGTATTTTGCTATTTTATTAGGATCTCCGTTAGCTGTTGCGAAAGCAGCAGCTATC